TGATTGCTTCTATTGTCATCATTTGTAAGTTGCTTTGGATAAAAGCGTCTTCTAAACAACTAATTGTAAATGTAAATCCCAATAAAGAATCTCTCAATAATGGTGTAAAGTAGAATATAATTTTATAAACCGAATTCAGGTGTTGTAACAGTTGTTACAAACTGTACAGTATTTATAGTACAATAATCACTAAGGTTCTTATGGAATAACATTGACATTTACTTGCTTTTTAATAAATGACAAATATTAATTCATAAACCATGGGTATTTTAACTTGTGCAAAGTTCGATATAAAAACGAGAAAATCAAACTCATCAGTTTGATATAGCTACACAGTTGAAGCAGAAGACTGGATGCTGTTACATGCTTTAACCACAGGGTGGGCTCCGACATCAGAGTTCAGGCATTGAGTTTTACTGCCCTACATCTCTCAGCACTATGGTGTAACTTGACATGTAATGTTCAATTTATGATATAGATCAAATAAATCTTATATAAAGTTTCCAGTTGTTTAAGAGTTTTTAAAGTAGCACTGAAACAGCCTTAATGTCAAGCTTTTTTTTAACCACTGGCTGCAATAATGATGTTATAACATGAGGCTAAATAGTTGTTCTTTTTTCTTTTTACAAAAGTTGTTCAATTCCTCTAAAAGACAAAACTAAACTAAACAAAACAAAACAAAAGCATAAATACAGTATGTCTAATTCCAATAATTTAGCAAAGGTAGAAGTTGCATAAGACATTTAAACCCATCCTACTTCATTCCTGTTATGTTATTTTAAAGCATGTTTTCTTTAAAGCACTCCACTAGGCCTAAAGACATAAAGTGGTTTTGTGTGTATTGTAAAAAGCTCTTTACAAATAAACCTGACTGATCAAGCTAAGGCTGATTCCTCAGCGTATATTTCAAACTGACACACTCGGGTTATCACAGATAAAAATAATTTTTCATGACCAACACACTAAGCAAGGAACAGCATCAGTGATTTTCTACATATTAGTTTATTTCATCCAAGACTTGAGTATAATACATGTGCATCTATGTCTTAATATAGTATTTATCATTTTAAAAGTTTCATTATGTGAAACAAATTTACATCATGTAGTACTAATAAGAAAATACTGACAATTTCAGTACAAATCTATACCTTAAGATT